TCAATCCTGTTCATCACGCAAATAAATTTGTCTAAGTTTTCTTTGCTATATTGTCAAATAGCAAAGTAGTATTTCATTAGGCGAATTAATAATTTAGGGACTAAAAATGCCTCCTGAATTAAACTCAAATTGAGCCATGTAATTAATTGCTAAAATTTTATGATAAACACGATCCCATTACTAAACCTTGTCTTTGTTCGAACAGTTTACCATTAAATGCAATATATGTAGAGTGCATCAACATGTTGGTCAGTATAATTATTAATCCTACTTTACTTTGTACTCCCTATAATCTCTACACTAATTGAGGGTAGTCTTCCATTAGGCGAATTACTAATTTAGGTTTTGCTTTGTTGAGCTTACTTTCATTTAGAGTGAAAGTGATGGGTGAAGATATTCGAAGGTCGATTCCACCAAAAGACAACGTCGGATTCCTCTTGACTTACTGTCTATTGGCTTTACTAGAGCATTTGTGGTCACGCTGTTTCCGAGGTAATCTCCTTTGATTCTGGTCAAAAGGTGCCAAGCTTTCGTCCGTCAGAACAAGGTAGCATCGTCACAACTACATTCAAGCTAACTAATCAAGAAAACGAGAGATTCCTTGAAACCAACATGCCTCCTTAATTAAGCGTTCCTTAAATTGAGCCATGTAATTATTTGATAAAATTTGTTACAAATACGATCCCAGTACTAAACATCGTGCTTTTTCGTACATTTCACCATTAAAGGTAAAATATGTACAATACATCACGAGGTTGGTCAATAGCATCATTGACATTTTGTTTAACTCATACTCCCTAAAATTGCGCCTTATTGGTCTAGTGTAGTGTAGTGTCCGTTTGTCATCGTCTAAAAGAGTGTTAGTGTATATAGACACATCCTCAATACTTACCGTTAAAACCCCACTTTCTAGCTCCTGCTCATCGAATAAATCAACAAATTTATAAGAATTCTTAACTGAAACCTTCCACGTCTCTGAGATTTGCTTTGACTGGTTCCAAATAAATTGTGATATTTTATACATCACCCTTCCCTTATTATTCACAATACTTTAAAGTGGGATCCCATCTTTATGTATTTTTGGCAAACTATATGAATTCGTAGGCCAAACATCTCCTCAGGCTTCCGGGGAGACCAACTTCCTAATCCCTTCCATTCGCCTCTTCAAACAAAATTAAAAGTACTCCTTTACCAAATCCAATAAGCTTCTGCTACAATGTGGACAGACCTGTTTTTAGGCCATCAAAGTTTGTTGTGTTGGTTCGACCTTGTTTTCGCAATTTGGTCGCAGTGTCATGGAAACATTGTGGTATTTACCTAGTCCCGTGTCCTCTGCGATAGTAATCGTGATTTCTATCATTGGACCATTAACTGGGTACATTTCCAAACGTTTATCAGGCATCGTCAATGAGAGACGCCATCGTAAGCACAGAGTTACAGCTTATCAAAGTTACAAGTCATAAATTGTAACTCTGTGTTTAAGATGGCGCCTCTAATTGACGGTGCAGGGACTAGGTAAGTACCGCAAGGTTTCTCTGACTCTCCGAAAAAAAGTTCGAACCAACATTATAAACCTAAAGGAGACTGCGACCAAACAGAAATCCACGCCATCTTCGTCTTCATATCTACCATCAAACTTTGACTTACTAAAGAAGTGAGTAAAATAAAGATTCATTTTAGATATGAGAGATAGACTCGTGAAATATGATAGAGGAACTCTGTAAAAAGTAGGTGTAATGGAAATTGAGGGGAAAGTTGCATTAAGCATTCGTTATGACTATGCTATTCAAGCTTCAGAGCAATAATATCGGCATTCTTACGCCCATACACATGAGTGGATGCAAATACTTCGATCTGGCATTGAAAACTTCAGTTATTCTGGGCGACTCCAAATTATATCCACCGATTCATATAATGAAGCCAAAGAAAGAGGTCTATACATTGTCTTATCTCGAGATGACATTCCTGGGCGTTAAAAACTCTAGACGTAACTGCCTGACTAAAGACGATAGTTAAGCCCAAACCGATGCTAGCCTGGATAAAGTATACGTGATTGTATTCAACAACGATTGAGTGACGCTAAACTATGTTGTCATAGCAATGAGAATAACAAATGAGGTGATGAATTTGATATTAATATAGAGCTGATTCTGCTTGTACCCCTTTGGTGTTTATAAGGGGTAAATGGTTCAAATGAGAAAATAGCTCAGTACTGACTTTAAATATCGGTGTGAAACGGAACTCTAGTCAGTGTGATATAAGCAAATTTCATTAGAATGAGTAACTGTCAAAAAACGGTTGATAATTAACTACCCTTTATCGAATTTATAGAGACCAAGAAGGGTTGGCCTTTTGTAGAGTAGTGGTATACTTTCATTGTATAGAATTTATTTGACTTTGTTTACGAAACTTGGAGGTATTTTCGGGAGATTTAGAGGAACACATCTTGTCCGGAGTCCATAGTATGCGTGATAATTTCGACAGTTAGAACATAGAATTAGTACTCGACCAGGTTGCGAAAAAAGGTCAAATAACTTCAAAGTACCTTTTAGTTCATTTTTGGGTGTGAGTGGAAGGTATACATGAATTTACTTCACCAATCCTTAACGAAAGATTACCCAGGATTTGTTATTCTGGATTTATTCTTTGGCATCTTGGAAAATATATTTTGCAAATCCGATTATTTCTTGTGGAGGTTTCGCATGTCATATGGCAGACATAATCGGAAACAGTTAACCATAGCTTTGCAACAGAGTGGTAACTTATCTCAAACAATCTGAACGACTCGTTTCGAATGCAATTGGGAGTAGTTATACCATCAAGACACTGTACAATCTACAACCTAACCTGGATAATAAAACATTCTGGGGGAAAGGATAGGGTAAAGATAATGACATCATAAAGCCAAATCAAACAATTGTGGAGAAAATTCCGCCAGTTACACTGAAATAACCTTAAATGACCAAGCGTAACCAAGGGACATTTGCTAATTTCTGAAAATTTTCATATAAAAAAGTTTTCCCTCTTTGTAATACTTCAAAACTAGTTTTTTAAAGTTTTGTTATGTAGGTATTAACCTTCCTATTCTTATTTAATCCCTTTAATTAACTATTAGTTAAAGAAAGAGCCTGTAACTCAATACTACTCTTAGTCAGAAGTACTATTATTTCTCAATGCAATTTTTTATATCTGACAGATCAAAATTTGAGCCAATTGAAAGAACGTCTTCAGTGGTAATATCCAATTGTATATGTAACTATGTTACCTATTTCTGGCCTAATCTAACTTGCCCTTAATTTTCTCTCTGAATGATTTTTATTTATATTTCATTGAACTAATCCCAATTCCCAAATTCTTAAGTTTAATTTTATGATACATTTTTACTAAGCCGTAAGTCGCGCTTTTGTCTCAATCAAAGAGTTCAATTTGACTGTTTTCCCAAAGCTTATTAATAACCAGATCAGATTTATATAAGGTTTGGTTCACATACCTCAGCATATATGTAGAAAAGTTCTGACGCTCTATGCACATCTGGGCATAAAACAGACTGCAGAGGCCCATGGTTCTAAAAATTTGAGATACTCATCGACATTAAATAGAGCAGCCTAAAACCCAAAACTTTGCAGAACGTGAAGACTTCAAGACAAAGAGGAAGAATAGTAGTAAGAGGGAATCAATAGACAGACAATAATCTTAAAAGTAGCAACGAGTATGGGAAGGTATGCTAGCACTAACAGGATGAACCACCAAGTAAGAGTAGGCTTATATAACTTGGAGTCTGACTTTGGGCCCTAGCACTTCGACGCAATGAAAAGACTCCTATTAGGTGAATCTTTGAGCCCTAATTTATTTTCAATGAGCAGACAAAATATAAAATTCCTTAATACATTTCAGATATGTTCAGATGTCGAAATTTTGGAGGGAGAACGCTGCCTGGCCTTCACATCCTAGGATGCATAGCTGGCCGTCAATCGACGCTGAATGGCGACGTCGTACAAAACTTGCTTTCCTCCCCTTTTATCTGGCCAATCGTTCACGCCTTGGCTGGGCTTGGCAAGACGTCTTCGTCCGGTGTGAGTATGAGGCTTCTGAATGCGACCTCGAGCCAATAGCAGCAGAACTGTCGACGCAGGGCGGCAAAACTCCAAGTCTTTCATACGGTTCCGGATTGCATGTGCACCAGGCCTGGGGCAGGATGGATGATGCCCTACGCAAAAGGGAGCAAGAGCAGACAAGAACTCGTAGGCAGATTGCTTAGGAATCAGAGCTACTAGCCATGAAGCTGATGCGTAAGATAGGCGACAGTTAGAAAGTCTAGATACACCGACGTAATGGTTTCCTTTATCGTTAAAGTGACTATGCCTGAAATAGTCAAAGTGAAACATTCATGTGTTTACGACCATAAGCATTTAGCAATTACTAGTTTGAGTGTGGAATGTATGCGGAATAATCTAAATAATGCAAGTGATAAATTGGAGGGCATACAACGAATTATACATATGAAGAGAAACTTGGTTTCGATAAATCTCATGAGATAACATTGTTAGGGGGAGCTTCATTTCGTATGAAAGTGCATGAAGAAGAGATTCGTGGTCGATCTCACCAGATGAGGACGGATGAATCTCGTTTTACTGCAGCCGTTTGGCTCTTATACGATATTCATGTTGACGCAGTCCACGGGACGTTTTTACCCG